CCCCAAAACCCCAAAACCCCAAAACCCCAAAACCCCAAAACCCCAAAACCCCACTAATATCCATTAAAATTGAAACATGTTAAACTTTCTCCGTGAGAATCTTTTACTTCCAAAAATTGGGCTTTTATTGCTAAATTTGCTTCTTTTTCAGTGGGCCATGACCGAGCTCACGACAGATAGAGTTGTGCAAGGAAATATTTCTGATGCAATCATTTGCCAGATTTGCTTAAATATTCTAGACAATGGAAGAGAGTGCAAGCAATGAGAAGCTCCCTTCTGTGGGAAGTGTATTGATAAGTATATTTCAGTAAAAAGAACTGAAAATGCAAACCAAATCCTTTCCTGACCTAAGGGATGTCCTAAGCTGAAGCTTAAGAAATTGCACAGAATGGTACAAGGCGTTATTGATAAGCTAAAAGTCAAGTGAGGCATTTCTAATAAGTGCAATGCTATTGATACGATTGATAATATTAAGGAACATGAGAAGAACTGAAAATATAATTCAATAGCTTGAGCAAATTATCAGGTGTGCAAATCACTATGAAGAAGACAAGACCTAGATGAACATCAAAAAATTTGAGCAGCTTTTAGCCAAATGAATAAGGATTGTAGAGATTGAGGAGACTCTTATGTGAAATCGTTTAGTCTTACTGAATCAAGCTCATTCTTACAACAGCTACATGACAGATATTTTTGAAAAGCAACAAACTTTGTTAGTTGAAGATTTTGAGGGAAAATAGATATTTTGAAAATAGATTTCTTTGACCATATTATGAATAATTGCACTGTAGTTAATCAAAATATTCAAATGCACCAAGGATATTCGAATAATTTTATTGGAAGAAGAGATATTAGCCCTTCAATAACAAGCGAGCAGAGTCAATCAAGAGAAAGAAAAAGAAGCAAAAGAAAGAGAGAAATTAAAGAATTTGATAAGAGTTCTAAAAGTAGTCAAGGTAACAAAAGGAATAGAAGAAAGCCTTTATTTATTGTTCAGAAAAAGGAAGATGATATTTGTGAAGGACAGAATCCTACTTTTCTACAATATGCAATAGAAGATAATGATGAAAAAGTAGATGTAAGTATCTCTGAAAATCGTATTGCTCAGCAACCCTCTCCCTCTCAAAATATCAGATATCAGCCAGAACCTGCACAACCACCTCCTCAAATTCCTCCTGAGCCTGATTACGAAACCCCTGGGAACCCAGACAAGTCTGATGAAATAAGTATCGATCAGGTCTCTGAAGAAGATACTTATCACAAGATGATGCATTTTTCTAAAGAGCCACAGGCTGTACTAGAATTGAATCCTGCTCTACACTCTGAGCCTCAGCCAGCTATAGACTTACAAAACTACTACAAAGAGCGTATGGGGTCTTTAGTTTCACCCATTTCTCTCCAAAACATGATTGAAGAGTTTGATCGTGTATCTTTAGTAAGCGCTGGCTCTGTAGATAACTTTGACGGTAAAGGAAGAGAATTTGAACGTATCAGTTCAATCAAGGCCAAAGCATACTCACAAAACTGTGCTATGGGAGACGATTTTGACGAATTCCAAAAAGTTCCACGATAAATTTGATAATTGTGTTTTGGGGTTTTGGGGTTTTGGGGTTTTGGGGTTTTGGGG